ACCAAAGCGCAGAAGCCCCTTTGCCTCTGCATCACAACAGAGACACACACGCGAGCTCACGCGCGTCTTGTCGTCCGCATGACCACGGATTATTTTTTTTCCCCCTCTTCATTGTTAGACTTGCACGAACTAACCCACCCGCGACGCAAAACGGCTTAGTCAACAGCAGAGGGCGACGTGGAAAATTGACGAAAAAAAGGCTTTCTTCTCGAAATTGGCCCGAACGCTGTGTGCTGCTGCTGCTGCGCTGAACAAGCTTAAAAGTCGATTGCAAGCCACGGTCGCGCGCTCAACGCCTTGCGATTCTGCGCAGAGGCAGAGTGGCGCGCCGTTCGAATGGAAGAGAGCGCACTGCGCACGCTGCAACTGGATGAACCCTTGCTTTTCCCACTTGGCTTGCCTTGGCTTGCCTTGCCTTGCCTCGCTACTGTAGACTGGGCCAACACGGCGGTGCCACCAATTTCGCAGTCCGTGCCATCCCCTCGCCCTTCCCTTCCCTTCATCACCTCTCCTCGTTCACCACCACACTCTCGTACACACACGATCGACCTCCTTTCGCACCTGTCGCGCACGCATCACATCCACTCGTTGACTCCACTTTCCACTCAAAAAGGAATCCTCATTTCAACCCCGCACAATGACCGACATCAACCAGAGCATCGTCGACCCCGTCGCCAACAACGTCCAGCCCGTCACCAAGTCGGACGACGACGACAAGAAGGTGTTTGCCGGCAACCTCGCCTTTGCCACCACCGAGGAACAGCTCAAGGCGCTCTTCTCTGAGGCCGGTACTGTGTAAGTAGGCACATCTCTTGGTCTTCTCTTGAAACATCGTCTCACTGACCATCTCACCTCGGCTTTCATCTCCGCACAGCACCCACGCTCAGATCATCACTCGCGGCACCCGCTCTCTCGGCTATGGATTCGTCACCTTCTCCACCGATGCGGAAGCACAGACCGCCATCCAGCTCCTCAACAAGCGCGATGTCGCCGGCCGCGAAATCAGCGTAGAGTCCGCCAAGCCCCAGTCCGCCGCCGCCGACGCCGACAAGCCAAAGGCACGCAGAGCGCGTTCCAAGAAGGACACCGAGTCGTCGCGTGCGCCACGCCGTGCCCGCGCCGACGAGGGCGAGGAGGGCGCCGCCGACGAGGACGCAGCGAAGGCCACCACCAACGGCGACTCTGCAACGCAGCCAAACGGCACCAAGCCCTCCAAGTCGGCCAAGCGCAGGCAGAAGAAGAAGGCCGTCGCAGCTGCCGGTGCCAACGGCGGCGAGTCCACCGCCGCTGCCGAAACAAAGGCCGAGTCGAGCGACGCCAAGACACGCGCACCTCGTGCCAAGCGTGAGCCCAAGGCCGCGCCCTCGGGCGAGCCTTCCAAGACGCTCGTGTTTGTGGCCAACCTCGCCTTTAGCACCACCGACGAATCACTCAAAGCCGCCTTTGCAGACTACAAGGTCAAGTCGGCCCACATTGTCAAGCGACGCAACGGCAACCGCTCCAAGGGCTTTGGTTTCGTCGACTTTGAAGACGCCTCGGAGCAGCAGCGTGCCATCGCCTCCTCGGCGCAGGGCAAGCAGATCGACGGCCGCGAGGTCACCCTTCAGGTCGCCGTTCAGAACGACAAGGCCGAGCAGCACGCTGAGGCTTCCGAGTCTGCTCCTGCCGCCGCCGCCTAATCATTCCGCATCACTTTTTAGCTAGACTCATCTTGCTTACCAAAAACGCTGTAGCAAAAACACAAAGTGACGATGCAGCAACCTTCCCATTCCCACAATTAGACCTCTCTGTGTGTGTGACGCTTCAAAATGCCCTGTCAGTAGCTCGGACGCGTGTGCGTGTCAGCATGCGCTGGCTGCGTCTCCATCTCGATGATCTCGATCTCGTCGCCGCCATCCTTGCCTGACTGAGACGCAGATGAGCTGCTGCGCGATGCTTTGTGCCAACGTCGTCTTGCCTTTGGCTTGGGCGCACGAGCACGGTCGAGGCGCGTCCGGAGACCGTCGACGATCTGCTGAGCCACGAGTTCGGCCAGCAGCACCGCAGCGCAGATGGCAAGCGCGCCATCCAGCGCAGCGTTTGAAGGCACGCCGTCGAACACGGTGAACACCACTTGGAGCAGCACGAGCACCACGGCGAATGCGAAGCGCAACGCCATGGCGCATCGGAACGAGCGCAGCTGGCGGTTGTGTGCGCTCTGCATGGTCTTGATCACAATGTCGACGGTGAGGTAGACGGCGCTGGCCACGTAGATGTACTTGAACTGGAACAGCGATTTCGCCACGTACTGGCCGAGCGAGTCCGGGTTGATGACGTTGTCGGCAAACTCGAAGAAGGAGCGGAAGGGCAGCACCAAGCTGGGCGCGAACTGCGACGACAGCGCGTTGCCCGCGTCGGTCATGTTGGCCTGCGCCACGAGTTTCTGCGCCTGCTCCTGACCGCCAGCGAGCCCGACGACCGAGTCGACCAGACGGCGCGCTTCCGAGAGCGAGGGCACATTGGCGCCGTCGTTGCTCTGGATCACGGCGAGGATGGCGTGTACGCCGCTCAGCGTGCCGTTGGTCGACAGCGGGCTCGAGCCGTCGTCGAGGCTGCTGACCTGGTCCGCGTCTTGCTGCGTCAAGTTGTGAGCGAACTGCGCATCCATGGCGTAGCTGCCTGGATCGGTGAGGAAGCGGTCCATCGCATTGAGCGTGTTCATGAAGCTGAGGATCTTTTTCAGGCCGATGACGAGCAGCGCCGAAGCCATGTGCAGCACGACATGGATGTACGCCCACAGCACCACAAGCACCGAGTTGAGGTCGATCTGACTCGTGGCGCGGTGGAAGTAGCCGGCAAACTGGAGCACGACGATGAGCACGCAGCTGACCGCCTGCAGGATGGTGTCGGAGCCCCAGCCTCCGCTTTCGATCGACGTGCCGCCCGTAGCTGGGCTTCGCAGCTTTGCACCGGGACTGATCTTGTTGAGCGTCTCGGCGATGCCGGTGAAGCCTTCGCCGAGGATGATGAGGCCGAACAGCACGAGACGCTCGGGCAGCACACTTTGTCCCAAAGGCGAAAGGCGGCCACGCACCTCGTTGACGATTTGGACTGCAGCTTCAATGGCGACACCGACGATCCACATGACCAGCAGTGGCGCGGTGATGCCGTTGTGACGGACGAAACGGCTGAGGATCCAGAGGAGACCCGATGCGACGAGCGATGCAATGGACACCAGATGAGTTTGGAAGGTGCGATTGAAGCTGCCAGGCCGGTCGCCTTGTCGAGACGGGAGCTGGGACGGCTCTTCTGCATGGCCCTGGTCGCTGTTCAGGTAAGTTGTGCGCGATCTTGATGAGCCTCTGCGACAGCGCACCACATCGTAAACAAGCACGACGACGTAGTCGATGGCCAAGGCGATGCGAGAAGCGCCGTAGATCTGGGTGAAGTTGGTAAAGCTGCCTCTAGAAAACTCGGAAGGCGTGGTGGAGAAGGCGACCCAGAGACCGAGCACAGCCACGCGGACGATACGCTGGCAGGACTTGAAGAGATACGGCTGGTGATGCGCGGGACGACGGTAGCGGACGTCGAAGTAGGCCTGACTCCACCACGCCCACCAGAGGGCGGTAAAGTAGCCGAGGAAGGCGGCGACGTCGCGGAAGCGTTCGAGCGAGACGGCGTTGCTGTAGGTATTGAGGCAGGCGGCGAAGAGCAGATCGAAAAAGAGATCGCTGTAGCTCGGAGCGTGCGAAGCTGCGTGGGAGCTCAGGGCAGCCATGGCAGGAGCATCGGGCGAGTGGTCCTGATCCTGATGTGAAGGTTGAGGAAGGAGTGAGGCACGGTCGCTGTCGATGTGGTCGTGTTGTGCGTGCTGGCTCGGTCGTTGCTCGAAGGGAGAAGAAGCCGATTTCTCCTCGAGCTTGTCATCTGTGCTGGCAAAGCTGGAATCGAATCGAGCATGTGTGTCAAGATAAGCCGGAGCCGCCGAACTTGCGTCGTCTGTGATCGGTTCCATGATCGGTGCGGCAGACACTGTGACGGGAGCAGCGCTGGAGATGACTGAGCTCCGAGTCGGCTGGTCCGAGTCGACAGGTGCATGTGCATGCGCTGCTTGTGCTTGTGCCATCGCTTTTTCGGTAGTGCCGTCCATCACGGTATGGCTGGAAATGATGTCTTTCGCAGGGCCCGACCGAAGCTCTCCTGATTGCAAGCTGGTTGCACGTCGGAGAAGGATGTGGGCGCGGACGTGGGAAGCAAAAGGTGAGCTCGCAAGGTGAAAGCGGGCTTGCCAGTCAACGGAGCCTGTCTTTTGATTGACTCGGTAAAGCCGAATCGGCGGGATGGAATGGAAGGAGCGCTTGATGCACACACCCTAATTTGCACGCTTGGATTTGGCCGTTGCCGAACAGCCAAGCTTCTCTCT